GGACAAGAATTGTTTACATTTACATCACTTCACAACATCAATCACTAGAGCCATTACAATCAAAACCATCTTTGCTCTCAGCTCTTTGGCCACAATTTTACCAAATCATTACAAATTAGGCTAACATGTGACACTAATTATTATGTACGTAGGCCTAATACTTACGGCTATCATGCACATCTTTTTCTACTAATCATAAGGCTTCAAGTTGATTTTTTTAAATGGGCAAGGGACACACATAAAAAACCCCTCTCACCCTCTTTATGGACACAGCTGCCACAAATAACATGTCCGACCAGCAGCAGACAAAGGTGATGCTGCGCCACATTTCGAATTATCCCACGCAACAGAAACGCGAAAGGGGCGTCGGTGGCCTAGTGGTTAGGCGACCGGACTCGTAATAATTAGATTGCGGGTTCGGGGGTTCGAGCCTCAGCTCGATTCGAACTTGCGTCCTTGGGAAAGGCTCTTTACAAGATTTCAAACTTGGCTCGGTCCTTTCGGAGATGGACGTTAAACTCGAAGGTCCCGCGTCTTAAATAGCCTAATAGTGTTGATAGGGGCGTTAAACCCATACCATTTCACCATTTTATTTTAGAAACGCAAATTTGTATATTTTATTGCATGCCTGGTGTTGCCTGCCTTTTTAACGTTTCAGATTTAAAAATGAGTAATTTAAAAAAAATCCAGTATGAAAAAAGAAGTTATACTTCTTTTAAAAGTGTCCCAAGCAGCACGTCTTCAAGTGTTGTCGACTGGCCAGAATGTGTGTCCTCAGGGAGTTGATTGATCACGGGGCATGGACGGGGGCTCTCGTGGCCTAGAGGTTAAGGTGTTCGCCTCTCATTCAAAGGTCCCGGGCCCGAATCCGGGTAGCGACGGAAAAATTTTCTTCTTTAATAGTGTCTCTTTATACCTCATTTTCTGCTCTCTAGCAATGCTCTGCCGTCTGCTTTCGTCTCCACTTTCTACCCCCACACCCTCACATCCTTTGTTTCCTCCTCTGGGATCCTGACTCTTTTTGCAGCCTTTCTACTGCTACTCCATGGCTCCTTCTTACTGCTGTCTTTCAGTCACACCCGTGATCTTATGGTAGAAAAGATCTACACCTAGCCTTCTCGGACAAGGGCGAAAAATCTCGGAGGTCCCGTGTGCACGTTGCGTATGTTAAAGATCCCTTGGTGGTCTAAAATCGCCATCTGGGCAAAATTCAAAATTTCCTACCAACTGAAAATGTTTATCGTGTCCCACGCGATCATATGGCCTTATGCAGTTGCGAGCGCCGTAAAACACTTACAAAAAAAATAATTTAAAAATAAGGACATGGCTTTTCGCTAAAAAGATGCAAATACTGTGACCCTGACACCCCCCTACCCCCCCCCCCCCCCCCCATCGTTCTCTGAATTTAGGGAAAACCTTACTCACAATTTGGCGTTAACAGAATTCATATTTCTACTTTTTTTAAAGTAAGCTATTATGAACTCTCTACCCAGTGGAGGCGTCCTTTGAATATTTTTCCCTTCTTTCTTGTTGTTGAGCATTAATTGTTTAGCGCAACTTTTAGACACTTAGGCCAACAGATTTTTACGAATAATGAGCAGGCTGAGATCTGATACCCCCCCCCCCCCCCTTGTTATCACCAATTAAAGAAATGTTATTTCCAGGCGACATTACCCAATTCAATTCTAAAACAAACCGCGCCGCTTTTATGTACACAACAACAAAAACAACAACAACAACAACAGCAACAATGAAAGAAACAACATTTTTAAACACATGTTTTACATCGCTTGCAACTGCATAAGGTCATATGAGTGCACTCAACAACAGCAGCGTCAACAACAACAACAACAACAATAACAATAACAACAACAACAACAACAACAACAACAACAACAACAACTGCAACAACTGCAACAACAACGACAACAATAAACAAAGAATCACCGAAAGGTTGTACTTACTTGCCGGCGAAGATACATTTGAGCCTAAGATTTGAACCAATCAGCGCCCACTCGTTGGAGCGGCTCATTGGCCAAACGAGCTTCATTCCTGTGTCGGTAGGGGTCGCTGAGAAAATATACCAGAAAAGAAGTCCATAATTTCACTTCCAAATCCAAAATAAAGTTATCACTGTCGTCAGATTCAAGAACAAGTAGTAGGTGAGCCGTAGTGGCTGACTATGTACAGAAAGAAAGAAACAGACGGACTGGCAGACAGACAGACAGATAGATAGATAGATAGATAGATAGATAGATAGATAGATAGATAGATAGATAGATTCGGAAGAAAATTTACAGAGAGTTAGACTTGTAAAAGATACAATAAAGATGGGCAGATTGATCTTGTCGCAACGCATCCTTCAAATTTCGTTCACTAAATTATTTCCAGACAAACCACGATTTATTTTCCTGCAAATACGTACATCCTTGGACCGTTATGACGTGCTGGGGTCCCACCTCGCTGTAGCGGGTCACATTGTTCATGGCTGTGCAGTGCCAGGACTTGCCATCTTCGCCGTCTTCTTTCTTCACGTATGTGATGTGCAGGTTGTCTGGGAATGTAAAACAAGGAGCAGCTTGAATTACAGTCGAAAATGTCCTAGGAGACTGTCGCGCACAACTACTTTAAGTAATTGTTCCGCTTGAGTCACTACACTTCAAACAGAGATATAGGGCTTACACGTGACATAAGAATAGTACACGTACATTTGATTCAAAAGGAAACCATTATGAGTATGCACACAATATTGCCAATATACTCATGCACGCACATAATATATCATACGAACAGACACCCACCCACACGCATACACACACATACATACACACGTCCACACATGCACACACACACACACACACACACACACACACACACACACACACACACACACACACGCGCGCGCGCGCGCAAAAACATACTCTCACTCACATATCTGCTTCCCTCCCCCCTCTTTCTCGAACTCATAAATCACGCACTCACAAATACAAAAACATACACACTCAAAAGCCTGTATACCCTTTCTCTCCATCATATCATATTATTTCGTCTCTTCCTCTCCCCCTTGCGGACTAACAAACAAACACACAAAAACAAATAAACAAGCAGACAAGCAAAATCAAAGCCTCTTTTATCTGACTTAACTCTCACTCACATATCTCCTACTCTCCGCCACCGCTCTCGTAAACACACACACACACACACACACACACACACACACACACACACACACACAAATATACACACAAATAAACACACACACAAACATACACACGCTCGTGCACACTCACAAGCACACACAGTGTGCAGTTACAGCCTCGACTTTTCGCGTACCTAATCAAGCAGTTTCGACTAGTTGAACAAATGTGTGCTGTTCCATTTCTATAACGGAAACGATAATAAACAACGGTGCTTAAAAAAAAAAGAAAAAAAGAAAAAGATAAATAGAGGATTCGATTGAAGAGCAATAACTCGGCTATCTTTGTTCCAATTTGGAACCACACGAGGACCACTCTTGACGAATGGGTGTCTCTCTCTCTCTCTCCCCCCCCCCCCCCCCCCCCCCCAATCCCACTGGAACCAGGCCTGTACAGCTTAACAGCTTCTGCTCCCAAAACTTCAACAAAACTTTCTCAGCATGGTGAGATATCCATCTGATTTGACCGTCGTTGGTTTTACCTTCTTCGTCTTGAAAAACGAACGAGCCTATCACACCTCTTACTGTACCTGAACGCTTTTTAAGAGGTAACGTTTGGCGTTTTACCCAAAAACAGTTGAGATTTTTAAAACGTGATATTTCTGGAACTCGTTTCTTGATTTTTTTATATTTACAGGCTTAACGTCACTCTAGTTAAATGTTATTTTTTCGAAGTTTTGCTAAAATCAATACTCAGATGACTGAGAATCCTCTTTTTTTTAGACACCCCTTACAAAATTTACAAAGATAAAACTTTACACTATATTATCAAGCTAAGATAGCTCTGTCTGTCTGTCTGTATGTCTGTCTTTCATTAACTCCCTTCTATCAATTAGATAAATATATTATATTAATATGTATATC